GGATCTCAGGATCTCAGGAGACATCAAGGAAAATATCACCTTTTATTTCACGCCTTTATACCGAGGGGGGTTGGTGTTTTCTTTGCAAGCTCAGGCAAGTGTCTACTCAACATCCCAAGGGATTACTCATCCCCTCCACTCCTGGCTTCTAATTAGCAACTGAAGGGGAATAAAATAATTAAATATGCCCAAGGTAACGATACTTGGAAACTTTGGGTCACGTTTCAGCCGGGGGGAGGCGGCGAGTAGTTGGAGCAGGTGAGTTTGAAGTCTGTGGGAACCTGAAAGACGCAAAAGGGAAGGGAAGATGCGGGGGGAGGGGGGAAGGAGGGAGGAAGGAAAAAAAATCCAGACCAAAGAAAAAAAAGAAGATCCAAATTGTAGACTGGGAAAGCATTAGATTTGTGAGTTAAAACGATGCCCAGAGTTAAGGTGATGCTTAAAGCCTGTCCGTGTGGGTGCCAGCAACGCTGGGTGGGGGACACCTGGGGACCCCGCTTTCCTGGGAGGGTGTGCAGGGATGTGGGGCAGCCCCCAGCCCACCGTTTCTCTGCTCTCGCAGGTGGGGGACAAGGTAAATTGGAGCCTTTTAATTTCCCAGCCAAAGCTTGGTCAGTCCTCACCCCCTTCCTCCCCTTGGGGGCTGCAATTCTGCCCTCGTTAGACCTCGAAGTAATTCCCATTAACATTTATGAGAGTTTCACGATCAAAAGAAGGAATCGGCCCTTTCATCTTCCAGACGTGCCCAAACACACACCACCCAGCCCCAAAACCCCGGACAGAGGAGGGGGGGCTCCCGCTTTGCGCTGGGGGGATGCGCGCCCCCAAAACCAGCGGGGAGTTTGTGGGGTTTCACCCTCCCAGACCCCATTGCCCGGCGCGGGTTCAGCATTGCCCCCCTTCCCTTTTCCCCTACAAATAAATAATTAGCAAACCCCCACCCTCTCCGCGCTGATTTTGTTGGGGTTTTTTATTATTATTCAAGGGGAAGGTGATATTGATAGCTCATTTCCAGATAAGAAACCCGGAATAACTTCCAAGCCCTTGCTGGGAGCCATAGGAGGAGCTGGGGGCTGAGCTGGGGTTCCCAATCCCGGATTTGGGAGCCGCAGCCCCAGCGCAGCCGGGCGGGCTGGGATACCAGGCGGCTCCCCAAGAGCCCACATCAAAGCGGGGCGCAGGGGTTGCGAAAGGGGGTGCAGGGATTGCAGGATGAGAGACAACCTGCTCGGCCCCTGCCCCGCTGCGAGCTCCAGCGCCCGGGGTGTGTTTCCATTGCTGCAGACGTGATATTGGGGAAGGGGGGTGGGGTGTCCAGCAAAGCCCACTGAGGGGTGTCCGTGCCGAGCACCTGGAGAAGCAGCAGCTGGGATATGTTTCCCCGAAGCTGGGATGGAGGAGCAGGCAGCTCCTGGGGAAGGAGGGAGGAGGGACAGGACGGGCTGAGCTCATGTCTGCCCGCTGAGACCGGTACAACTCCTCGCTCACCACTTTATTGTTGGGGGGCATGGGGAGGGGGAGGGGGGGGAAAGAAGCCTCCACAGCGTGAGGTCACCCCACCGATCCGGTTTGGCTCCCAAATGGTTTCCAAGAGACACGGGGAGCGGTTGGGAACGGCTTCCCGGGGCAGGCGAGGGGGGTGATTCATCCTCTTCCTCCTCTGCCAAAGGGCTGGCAAAACAAAACGACGTCAGCACCTATTTCCCGTGCATTAAAGGCTTGTTTATCATCAGCAAATAATAACCTGAGATACTCGGCGAGTCAAAGCCAAGCCTGCTTTCTAAGCAACGATCGCTCCCGTGGGGCTCAGCATTTCAAGGACGCTGGGTGCTGGGGCGGGGGCATAATCCCTCTTATTTTCTCTATTTGGGTTTAAAAAGCCGGTCCCAGGTGGGCTATGGTTCCTTCCCGGCTCTCCTGCCCATGGCCGGGCACAAATGGCCAGAGCTGCCACCACAGCCTCAGGGACACCGGGGTGACACGGGGCAGCAGGCAACGCTGAGGGGCAGGGACTGTCCCCCGGGGTCTCCGTCCTGGTTTCTCCTCCATCCCTGGCATCCCTGCCAGTGGGCTGTCCTGATTTGAGGATGGTCACCAAACCTGGCACCGCTCAGGAGGGAGGCAACGAGCCCAGAGCGAGTGTTTTGGAGGAGATAGGTGCCCTTGGAGAGGGGAGAAGAGGACCCAAAGGTGACACACTGAGGTAGCTGCAGGAAATCACGGGCAACCGGAGGCAGCAGGCGGCCCATCACATGCCGTGGCATCATCACGGGTGACTGGAGCTGCACGTCCTCCCGTGGGGAGTCAGGGCAGACCCGTGCCAGGTCACCTCCTCAGGAGCTGGCTGCTGCCCGGGCCTCCTCGCCCGCCTGGCACCAGCCCTGGGTCCCAGCCAGCCACCGGCACCATCCCACGTGGCTGTGGGCTCAGGGCACCCTGAGGTGTCACAGGGACGGCTGTCGGTCTCCATTGCTCCTTCTTATCCCTGCCAGGCCCTGCAGAGCCATTGCCACAGCTCGGCCATCTCCATCCCACCAGCCAGCGTCACCTCCGGCTCTGCCTGGAGCCCCAGAGCTTCCTGCTGACTCATCTGCCTTAATTTGCCCGGCAGTCTCGGGGTGATTGCCACAGATAGGCCTGGGGACAGAGCCAGGAATCCCCCACAAGGGGACATGGCCGCTGAGGGACACGGCTCTGGGCTCGCAAGGGCTGGCGAATAATTGCCACGCAGGGATTCCTCCTGCTGTGCTCAGCTCCGGGGAGCAGCACCGGGCTCGTCGGAATGATGGGGAGCCCCCAGGCTCTCCCAGCAAATGGAGGGCAGGGGCCAGAAGGCAAACTGGGGCTGGCAGGGCTGTGTAATGGGCAATACTGGAGCAGCGGGAAGGTGTCCCCGGGGTCCCAGCTCTGCAGCTCATCCCCTCAATTACAGCCTGCTCCTGGATGTGGCCCGGCTGATGCGTGTCCGATTGACTACCCACTACTCCAGCCCTATCCCAAATTAATTACAGAAACCACCAGCAGCAACACAAGACCTCCCAGAGCCCTGACCCCCAGCCCTGCATCGCCTGGAAGATGCTTTCTTTTTCCCCCTCCATGCCAAGGAAGGAAGGAAAGAAGGGAAAAAAGGCTGGGATGTGAGCGGAGAGCAGGGGCTGGATTGTGTGGATTGCATGAATCCCCTCCTGGCGTGGCAGGGATTGTTGTTCCGTTCCACCAGCGTGGGCTTCACCTTCCTCCCGAAAGAAGGGAAAAAAGGCTGGGATGTGAGCGGAGAGCAGGGGCTGGATTGTGTGGATTGCATGAATCCCCTCCTGGCGTGGCAGGGATTGTTGTTCCGTTCCACCAGCGTGGGCTTCACCTTCCTCCCTGCAGGCTGAAGGGCCTGGAGAGGGACCACTTGTCCCTGGGCCACCACCAGCCAGGGAGAGGGGCAATCTGCCCAAACCACAGCTTTGCCCGGGTGGCCAAGGGTGGTGCGGGAGGACACAGCGGATGCCACGGTGGCATTGGCTGTTCCCCTGTGCAACCATCACGCTTTCTCTGGGCACATTCCTGCCACCACAGGAGCTCTCGGCCGGCTATTTCAGGAGCGTAGCATCTGCGGGACCCCAAGGAGATGTCCGTGTGTCCCCCCACCCCCGGGCTCTGCCCTGACACCCCCAGCGCCCGGGCCCGTGGCTGGGGCTGGCAGGTTGCCACTCATTGCACGTGTGTCCCCCGGCACGTTTTGTGTTTCCCTGCTCCCACGGGAGCTGCTGACATCCTTGGCACGCGCCGGGTCCCTGGCACCGTCCCCTGCCATCACGCCCCGCTGCATCAACGAGCGGCGTGACGCTCACGGGACCGCGGGGCTGGCACGGCGGGGGCACCCACGAGGGACAGGGTGAGGAAGGTGCCCATCGCCTCTGCCTTCCTCCACTTTTTTTTTACATCCCCCCCCCCCATTTCCCACCCTGGCCTGGCTGGGCTGGAGGAGACGCCGAGTCGGGGTGCTGGCACCGCTCCCCACCAGGTCACCCGACAAGCTCCTGACGTGCCCAGACAGCTGGGGTGGTAAAAATACTCCCTGGCCCGCTGTTTCAGCTGGATTAGCATCGCCTCAAACAAACCACCTCAGCCGGGCGCCGCGGGGCAAACACCCAGACTGGATAAAACCCCGGGAGCAAAGGAGTTTCGGAGCACGGGGGCAGCCAGGATGGGGTACTACCACCACCGGGGTGGTGAGGAGGAGGGATGCTCCACGGTTCAGCAGCGCCTCGTGGCCATGGGGCAATCCCTCCCTGCACCCCAAAAAAAAATCAGAAAGCATCATTTATTTATATTTTTTTTTCGCTCCTTCCACCCCAAACCCTCTCGCTGCTCTTTCGAGGGGGTGGGTAGAACCCGCCGGAGGAGATGACCAGGGGGGTGGTGGCAGCTCGCCTGCTGCCCTCCCTCCTGGCGTGCCCGGTTAATGGCACAGGGAAATTAATTCAGGAGAGTGGGACGGAGCCAGCGGGGCCTGGAAGGAGCCGGAGCCCCCGAGGTGCCATGCGTGGCGCCAAGGGGACGTGGGTGCCGCCGTCCCGGGGGCGCTGGGAGGGCACGGCAGGCTCCGGCCGGGCCAGTCCGGCTTGTTGTCGGTCTCGCTGGCGGGGAGGGTGTCAGAGCCACGCGTGGGATGGGGTCTGGGGCAGGGACCGCAGCCCTGTCACCCCATCATGTCAGCTCCCCCTCACCCCACCGCGCCGCCTGGGGTTTGTGGGGGCAGCCCCCGGGATCACCCCACACCCCCTGAGACATCTGGGGGTTGATTTTGGCAAAGGGTTAGGCTGGGGTGGGGGGTGGGGGCACCCCACTGGATGCACCCCCCTCCCCTGGGAGCGGAGCAGCGCTCCCAAGGCAGGTGCCATCTGTGTGATGAGAGCTGGACCGTTCTCTGCCAACACCACGAGGAGAGAGCGGCGGTCACCCAGACGGCTCTCCCTGCTGCCCCTGGCACCCAGAGGAGGGGGGGACAAGGAGGGGTGGGAGCTCCTGGACCTGCCTGGTGGCCCAGGGAGTGAATCAGCAGCGCCCGGGGCAGATGCCAGGCCGAGCCGTGCGCAGGCTGCGAGGGGCGGAGGGTTTGCACTCGCTCTCGCCCGGCCAAGGATAAATAGGAGGCGGGTGTTGAGCTCTGCCAGAGCTGCTCTTCCCAACCACCCAACGCTCCCCACACGCCGGCACCCAGCCCAGGCAGACATGGACTCCCAGGATTGCCCTTGCGCCACGGGTAAGGCAGGGCGTCCCTCCGGGTAGGGGTTTGGGGGGGGGAGATGGGGATGGAGGGGGGGTCTGCGGGAGCCCGAGCATCCCACCGAGGCTCCCCGCGACATCCCCCCCTCGCTAACGCTCTCTCTCTCCCATCCTGGACATCCCATCCCATCCTCTCTCCCACCCATTCCCACCGGGAATGCTGTGATACCCCCCCCAGAGAGGCCGGAGAGAGGATGCTCGGAGCCGGGAGAGGGGGTTGGGAGGGAGGAGGAAAGGGGGGGCGATGCTCTCTCTCCGCCCCGGAGCATCCCCGCTGATCCCCAGGGATTTTTTTTTTTTTTTGCCTTTTCTCTGTGTTTTAGGCGGCACCTGCACCTGCGGGGACAACTGCAAATGTAAAAACTGCAAATGCACATCATGCAAAAAAGGTAAAA